TTTTTTTTTTTTTTTTTTTTTTTTTTTTTTTTTTTTTTTTTTTTTTTTTTTTTTTTTTTTTTTTTTATGTTTAATGTCTTTAATTATAAATTAATAGTAATAATACTTTTGATACGGATGAGTTGTTGACCCGAACCACTTAAATAGAGCTCAACTCGAGCAATCCAACTCGAGTTGTGTTGTTGGCTTGTTCTTTTTTTTTAATCATTTAAAAAATTATATTTATCCACATTATCTATTATATTAACTACTAAAATCTAAAAAAAATTCAAATATCAAATATTAAGTCAAATATTCTTAATTTTTGTATTAACAGTAGAGTTGAATTGTAACTCTGTTTTTTAGGTGGTTGAATTGACCCGACAAAAAAACATGTCAACTTGCAAACGGACCCAAAAAAAATCTTAACCCAACCCAATCTAATGAACCGTTATAGTTTGTATTGGGTAGTTGGGACGGGGTCGGGTTCTGAGTCATATGAATACCCTAATATTTTTTTTAGTTCAAATATTTGAGAGGAGAAATAATTTTTTATTTTATATAATTTGGCCTAATAATAACAAACATAAGTATATTAATAAAATGAATAAGTCAAATGGAAAATATCCGTGTTGTTCTACGTCATTGTAAATTGTAAGCCGATTCCTTCAAATTTTAAATATTAACGCCGCTGACTTCTTGTTCTTCTTCCTCAAGCAATTCCAATGGCGAGAGAGAGAAGTGGACCGAGTAAAGTTTCTCATGAAAGTGCCTTTGTTCTTCATCCCATTTTATATTCACATTCACCAAACAAATTCAATCTGTCACCTCGTACTATTTTCTTCCGTTTTTCTTTTCGGAAGAGGAGAATCGGATTTCGGTTCCGTTTGATTTGGAACTTGATTCTGAAAACATCCAAGTGTGTTCAGAAAATCGGTTCGTGAGAGGAATCTATGGCTGATTGTGTGTGTTTATTCAGAAATTGAAAGAAATCGATAGGGTTTTTCCTGTTTTGGGTTAGTGAAAGGTTCACTGATCCTACAGGAATCATGGCCGGTAGCTGTGGAGACGATGTGGTTTATATGGCTGTGGGAAATGATGTAAACGAGTGCAAATTGAATTTGGTCTATGCTCTAAAGCACTCAGGCGGGCGGAGGATTTGCATTCTTCATGTTCATGAGCCAGCAAAGTTGATTCCATTCTGTAAGCTCGCTGATAAATTTCAATATGTTCACTTAAATATTCTCAATCGTCTGATGATTTCTATTGCTCTTGATTGATTGAAGTTAAGTTATTGCTCTTTGGCTGTTGATGTTCTAAATTCTTAAGATGAAGAACAAGAGTTTATCCAGTGGTTTCGTTAACTAAAACAAAGTTTGTTCTATTGTTTTTGGAATTAATGAAATTGAACACTTACATGAATTGGAGTGTTTCTTAGAATTGACTTACTGAACTCTCTCTTCCATGCGTCAAGTGGGAACACAATTTTTGGCAAGTTCTATGAAAGAAAAGGAAGTAAACGCCTACCGCGAACGTGAGAGGCAGGATGCAAATAAGATACTTGATGGATTCCTTTTCCTCTGTCACCAAGCTGGGGTACATATCCATTGTTCTCTTTGTTTCAATATTATTTCATTGTTCATTGAACTAGATTGGGTTATAGGAGCGGGGTTAAGAACATAGTTAAACACCATAAATATACAATGTGTGATGTGATAATGCATGAATCAATAAGTAAAATGGGTTAAACATGAGGAATGATTTCAATTTTCATATGGGATTTGCTCCGTTTGTTCTTCTACTCATTAATGTTTTAGTTTAGGTTCGGGCAGAGAAACTTTATTTTGAATCAGACAAGATTAAGAAGGGAATTGTCGAGCTCGTCTCCCTTCATGGAATTAGGAGGCTTATTATGGGTGCAGCAGCGGACAAGTATTACTCGAGGTACATTCTAGCTACTTGCTTTGTATTCTTCTTCCATGTATATCTGCTTTCATCTCTTAAAGGGTTTTTGTCAATGATTATTAGTTACTCCATTTGCGCATGATCATGCCCTCTGTTCTATAAATGGTACACAACTGAAGACTCTGTCGGATGAAATGATGGTTTAAAATAAAGAAGTAGAAAAATTAGGAGGGGAGATGAAAATAATTGTAAATGGTATTAGTTCAAAGAAATTAAGAACATGCCAGAGTAGTTGTTTTTGTTTCGGCATAGTAATCATTAGTTCATTGTTGAACTAATAAGAGGGAGATCTGGATACACTGTTCAACAATATTGTAAGCTAATAGCTTAATCATTGTGAGCTAAGAAGCATGGATACTTGATCGGGCTGGCATATTCGACACAAATCGGACACTTGTTAGTGCAATGATGTGTTAGAAACTAGTTATCAAGTAAAAGTTGAACAAACATTTGTTAGATATGCATCAAACACTTGTTAAGTTGACTAAATAGACACACATATGACAAAAATGATAAATCTTCATAAAGAAATACATCAAACTAATTTTCTAAGCATATAAAAACACAAACTCATTGTATAAAAACGATATAATTTAAAAAAGTGATTATTTTAATAAACATGTTATTGCCATGTCTGTGTCTGTGTCCATGTCCTAGATTTTAAAAAGCTGGCGTGAAGTCGTGATCGTGTCTTGTCGTACTGTATCTCGTATCCGTGGTTCTTAGATTTGAGAGTTTTTCATTCAAATTGTGGAATTAAGTTGATGTTAGATAGTTAACTAAATTGAGGAGACTAATGCAATCTAGGCGATGGTTGTTTATCTTCTTTGATGTTGCAGAAAAATGACAAAAATCAGATCGAGGAAAGCTATGTATGTTCACCTGAAAGCACCAGCTTTCTGTCAAATTCAATTTGTTTGCAACGGGCAGTTAATTCGCACTAGGTTTGTTGTCACTCTTCATCTGTTTTCATACTCTAAATCCATTGATTGGAACAGGTTGAGTATGGAATATGTCATCAGTCCTAAATGGTGAATCTTCTAAAATATAGCCATGTTGTTGAGAACCAATATCCTAACTTGATCAATTCTAAAACGTCTAGTCAATTCATGTGGTCCATAAACTTCGGTCAAGTCGTATCAAAATATGGCTAATGGTCAGCAGGAGACTTATGGAACCATTATAGATTGCATGCTTGTTGTTTTAGAACTGCAATTTAGTCGTCTGACAACTAATGCAATTACTACATACAAATAGGGAAGCTTGTCCACAAGAAGCTCATGTAGATATCCCACCACCATCACCTCAGTCACAGAACGTCAACGGGGCATGTTGGAGACCAGTGGAGCCTGGCCAATTCAATGGGAGCAGAATACAGAGTCCATCAATTGTTCTGGAAAGGCTTTCAATTTCGAAGTTAGTTTTGAATGATAGTGGGACTTCGAGCCCTTCTGAGCGTTCATATTCACCAAGTTCATCTAGTGGATGTCTAGATGCTGCATGTTCAAGGACTGAGGAAGATGCGTATGGAGTAGGATTAAATTCACCTCTTCTGTTGAAAGATGTCGCTCCTAACTCATCTCCTCTCCATTTGTTGGTATGCCCGAGTATCAGCCGAAGGCATTTCTTACATACTTTGCATCCAGAAAAGTAATAAGTAATTTTTCTAAAATAAAATATTTGGCCTTTCTATTTTTCAGGGATTCCAGCAAGACGAAAGTGCTGATGATATTTTATACATTCAACTTGAGAAATCAATAACCGAAGCAGCAAATGCCAAGCGAGAAGCTTTTAGAGAGGCAGTGAAGCGAGCTCAAGCTGAAAATGAACTTGGGAATGCTATTTTCAGGGTAACTCTGTTGTCAGTTGTCGTATGACTGATCTTGGCTTAAATCATTTATGTAGATAATATACCTATCAGTTGACTTTGTTGTTGGGAATTGTAATCTTTTAGATACTATAAATCTTGGATTTGGGTGTTCTTATTGCATCAAGTTGTAAATCTTTTAGATTTGGGTGTGCCAGCGAGGATGCTGGGCTTCGAAGGGGGGTGGATTGTGAAATCTCACATCGGTTGGAGAGGGGATTGAGACATTCTCTATAAGGGTTGGAAATCTCTCCCCAGCAGAGCCTGAAAGAAAAAGCCCAAAGAGAACAATATTTGCTAGCAGTGGACTTGAGTCGTTACATATATGATCTCATATGGTTTTCATTAAATATGCAGGCTAAATTTTATGAAGACTTATATGCTGGAGAGGCAAGAGAAAGGAAAGATGTTGAAGAAGCGCTGTCAAAAGAAAGGGAAGAATTTGAGAATGTGAAGAACCAAGTAAATAAAATGATGGAGGAGCTCCAAGTCTCCCAAAACAGGGGATTAGAATTAGAGAATCAAATTGCAGGATCTGATCAGATGGTGAAGGAGTTGGAGCAGAAGATTCTCTCAGCGATAGAACTGCTGCATAATTACAAAAATGATCGAGATGAGTTACTGAAGCAACGAGATGAAGCACTCAAAGAAGTGGATGACATAAGGACAAGACAAGTAGAGGCCAGAACTAAACATACTGCTCAAGTATTCTCTGAGTTCTCCTTCTCAGAAATTGCGGAAGCCACCCGGAAATTCGATCCCTCGCTTAAGATTGGGGAGGGTACACATGGAAGCATGTATAAAGGTCTGCTATATAACACTGAGGTTTGCATAAAAATGTTCGGTTCTCATAACTTGCAGAACCCAGTGGAGTTTCAACGTGAGGTATGAATAGCCTGGATCCATTTTACTCTTTCTAATAAGTTAAACTATTTTTTTTTTTTTTCATATACTTATGCAGCTCTATGCATCTCTTTAGAGTATTAATTTGATGATCTCTTGCTCGAAAACCTTATAAAATCATCAATCAACCCAAAAGCTTGAGCTTCTCGGTTCAGTGGTGATGTAACAATATGATTCGGTTCCAAAGATTAGAAGTTTGAAATCCCGTTTCAAGTCGGTTTCGAACATTTCCTTAATATGTTTTGTTTTATATGTTAGGTTGATGCATTGAGTATTATGAGACATCCCAATATTGCCACGCTCATTGGAGTCTGTCCGGAGGCTTGCATTCTTGTTTATGACTATTTTCCTAATGGAAGTCTTGAAGATAGGCTAGCCTGTAAGGATAATTCTTCTCCGTTGTCATGGAAAACTCGAATACGGATCGCTTCAGACTTATGCTCAGCTCTTATATTCATTCATTCAAATAAAATTTGCAAGATCATTCACGGTGACTTGAAGCCTTTGAATGTACTATTAGATGCAAATTACGTTCCTAAACTTGCAGGATTTGGAAGTTGTCATTTATTGCCTCATGATGAGAAGTTGAGTTACAATGAAAATATATCTGCCAAGTATGGCGTGAAGAGCAATCATGAATTTCCTCTCACGACAAAGTTGGACGTTTTTTCATTTGGCATGGTATTGTTAAGTTTGTTAACTGGAAAATCATACTTGAGAATGAAAGAAGACGTCCAGTTTGCCATAGAGGAACGAAAATTGAAAGATGTATTGGATCCACGAGCGGGAGACTGGCCGTTCGTGCAGGCTGAACAGTTGGCTCAGTTGGCATTGAGGTGCTGCAATAGAAATAGTATGTACAGGCCAGACCTTGTGTCTGATGTGTGGAGAGTACTTGAGCCAATGAAGGCTTCTTGTGGAGGTTCGGTTTCTGTATCCCTAAGCTTTGGGGATCTGCAGGTGCAACCTCCTCCTTATTTCCTATGTCCTATTTTTCAGGTTAGTTATATGCATAGCTCTCTCTTTATTGGCTCATTATTCTTGCTTTGATGCTGTTTTGGTTAAAGAATATGTGAACTGTTGTAAATGCAAGTTTCTGAACTGTTTTATGTACGTCTCCTACACTATTCGTTTGATTCATGAAACCCCTTGGCTAAATGAAAACCAAGTTGAGTTCATATTTTAGTTTTTCCCATTAATAAGCTCTAACCGCCCAAGCCCACCGCTAGCAGATATTGTCCTCTTTGGATTTTCCCTTTCGGACTTTCCCTCAAAGTTTTTTAAAACGTCTCTTCTAGGGAGAGGTTTCTCTCTCCAACTAATATAGGATCTCTAAACCCACCCTCCTTCAGGGCTTAGCGTCCTCATTGGCATTCGTTCCCCTCTCCAATCGATGTGGGATCTTATAATTCAGTCCCTATGCGGCCCAGTATCCTTGATGGCTCTCATTCCCCTCTCTAATCAATGTGGAATCTCACCATCCACCCCCTTTCAGTGCTCAATGTCCTTGCTGGCACACTACCTGGTGGGGCCTTGCATCCTCGCTGGCACTCGTTCCTCTCTCTCTCCAATTAATGTGGGATCTCACAATTCACCCCCTTCAACAGCCCAGTGTCCTTGTTGGCACACTGCCCGGTGTCCACTCCCTTCGGGGCTCAGTATCCTCGTTGGCACACTGCTCGGAGTTTGACTCTGATATCAGTTGTAACAGCCCAAGTTCACTGCTAGTAGATATTATACCCTTTAGGGTTTTTCGTTCGGGCTCTCTCTTCAACTGATGTGAGATCTCACACAAGCTGTTTCTCACTAGCGTTCTTTCATGGGACCTTGATTTGAATACACCGTTGATCTCAAGAATTGTATGCATTTTTTCAGTAACTTCAGAATCTCAATTATAGTCCTGACATCATTCACTGTATGTGTTACTTTTAGATGATTATTTTCGCTGGAAAACACATCATCTATGTACATTATTCTTTGCATCTAGTGTGTAAACCTGTAATGGACTAATATATTACACCCAACACTCAGGAAGTCATGGAGGATCCTCATGTAGCAGCCGACGGGTTTACCTATGAGGCAGAGGCATTGAGAGGATGGTTAGACAGTGGACACAACACGTCGCCGATGACAAACCTAAGGCTCGAACACCAAAACCTCGTCCCTAACCGTGCTCTTCGTTCTGTAATTCAAGAATGGTTGCATCAGCAGCAGTAGTAAGTCCATTGATGCTGTTTGTTTCTGTTTCTGGATAGTTAATGTTTTTTTTTATCAGTGATGAGTTCTTAATGTTTGGAGAATGAATCTGCTACCATCCTTTTGCTGTTGGGTAGCAGTAATATAGAAAAGGATATGCATTCAATTCCATTCCATTGTCATTGCTACTTGAAACTGTGAATATATGTATATACTCATTTCATTCATTTTACTTCCAAATATCATTTACTTAATGGTAAACCCAGCTCAAGAACACGAGAGGTGTTCGTGGGTTCAAGTTGTGTTGGGTTGGGACATTTTAAAAATTCTTTTTAATTGTTGGGGTTAGTAAACTTTTTCATCGTAAACCATTCTTATTAAATTATGAACTTAACTCAACCCAACCATAAAATATTGGGTTGAATTGGTTCGAGTTGTTTAGATTATTTATTTAAGTTTTTGTTTTTAATAAAAATAAAATGTTTATGTGAGATCTCACATTGGTTGGAGGCGGGAACGAAACATTCCATATAAGGATGTGGAAACTTCTTCTTAGTAAACACGTTTTAAAATCGTGAGGCTGATAGTGATATGTAACGATTGTAACGAATCAAAGCGGACAATATATTATTAGTGGTGGGTTTGGGCTTGAGCTATTTGAAATATTATTAGAGGCAGATATTAGATGGTGTGTTAGTGAGGACGTTGGGCCTCCAAAGAGGTGGATTGTGAGATCCCATTGGTTGAAGAGAGGAATGACGTTGGGCCTCCAAAGAGGTGGATTGTGAGATCCCATTGGTTGAAGAGAGGAATGAAACATTTCTTACAGGGGTGTGGAAACAAAACATGGATTGTGAGATCCCACGTTGGTTGAAGAGAGGAACGAAACATTTCTTACAGGGGTGGAAACGAAACATTCCTTATAGGGTTGTGGAAACCTCCTCCTATAGAAGCGTTTTAAAATCATAAGGCTGACGGTGATACGTAACAGCCAAAGTAGACAATATTTGCTAGCGATGGGCTTGGGCCTGATGGCGATACGTAACGGCCAAAATAGACAATATTTATTAGCGGTGGGGTTGGTCTGTTAACGTATTCTTTTTAAAAAAAAAAAAACAATAAATTCACTTATAAATTAACAATAGTGTGAATTGGCATCACACCCTTGTTTTTATGGTGGGCAACAGGCCTGAACCCATTTCACCACAAATTTTTGTCTCTCAAATAATAAATTTAAAACCGCACGTACGATTCCTCGGATCAGAATGCCACATGTGCGGCTTAGACACAACGCTGAAAACCATGTGGGGGCCTACATTCTTGCCGTACGGCTTCAATTAAAGAATATGAGTACCAATCAGATGCGGCCGGGATTTTTATGTATTTACACGTGGCAATTTTGTATTGGTTAGTACGGATACTAACCTATAAAAAATCAACACGTGCCAAGTGATATGTGGATTTGGCCGCACGTAGGGGAATCTATCATTTGTTTCGCCAGTTTTTTATGTACGGCTAAATACGGAGGTCGGGACAGGTTCAGACGGTAGCCAGTCACCGGCTTTCTGTGTCCCTCCACGCGCTTGAACTTTGTTGGTATTGCGCTTGTCATACACGCAAATGTTAATGCTAAGTAACAATGAGAAATTATTCCTTCACTAAATTTTCAATTTAGTTTTAAAATTATTAAATTTATTTTTTATGTATTAAATTTTTTATTAAAAAAATTATTTTTATTTACCATGTTTATAACATTATTATAATAAATAAAATAAATTAGTTCAAAACTATTATTATTATTATTATTTTAAAAATACGGTGGTTTTGCCTTTTACGTTCTTGCTCAAGCTCTTATTCTCACTTTCTATTTTCCCTCCCTCCCGCTAACTTTACCTCTTCTTGTTCCTTCTCCCACTCGAGAAAATCCTTCCTCACTATCTCGTATCTCTAAGTCGGTCTGCAGGTAACATTTTTTTGGTCGGGTCTATTCGAAAATAGGGTTACAGCCCAACTTAATCCTATTCTACTTTTAAAAAAAAAAAACTAAAAATATTTTAAAAAGTTTATAACTAATGTTAGTGATGCATTGTATGAGATTTTAGTTATTAATGTAACGTGTATGGTAGATAAGTATGATTGTTTAAATAATGAAAAAATAACCCGAGCTGAAAATAAAAGGGATGGGTTAGGAACTCTATTCAGGTTGTCCCAGTCACCAACCCAACAAACACAAATTTTGGGTTGGTCCGAAAGATTTTTCTAACCCAACACGTGTATACTCGTAGTATTGTTTGTGCTTAGAGACTATCACTCTCTTTCAATGCAGCTTTTATGTACACTCCTATTCTCTTTCGGGTTGGTCACGTTCTCGGATCATACGAACAACCCTAATTGTAGAAATGTAATTTGAGGTATCGTTTATCGAGTACAAAAAGTAGAATCGAACCAAAAAAACGATGTAAAAATAATAAAAATAAAAGTGGGAGAGAGAAGTAGATATTGTTACTAATTATTTAATTGTCAAATCAAACATAAAGAATTTAGTCCCACTTCTATTCCATCATCTAAATATGTCTCCCACTTCAATCCACGTCATTATCAAACTTAAATACATTTTTTCTTAATTATTATTATTATTTAATTCAATTTTATTATCCTCATTATCATTATTTATTACATAATAATAATAATAATAATAAGTTTTAACGATAATCATTTATTTCTCTTTAAAAGATGTATTACGGGTTGATTTACTTCCTCTAATTCATAACATTCTTACCCGGGTATCAAATAATTAGATTAATTTGTACAAAGCTAGAGTAAAAACCGAAAAATAGTTATCTCGATTAAGTATTTCTTAGAGTTAAAAATTCCTCAAAAATACTATAATTTAAACCCGACGATTCGAAAAATTCAATCAACCCTATCCAGCTTGTACAATTTGGGTTGAGTTATGAACTTATTGAAATTGGGTTGGGTTCGGATAATGAAAAATTTATACATTAAGTTGGTTCGCGAATTTCTCGAACAGAAAGAACTTGAATTTATTATAAGATAATTTTTCAAAATATATATTATATTAAAAATGAATTACAAATCTTAAATAAAAATTTAAAAATAAATAAATAGATATTTTACCGTTCCAACTTAATAAAAATAAAAATAATTTATGATTGAGTTTAGTTCATTAAGTTATTTATAGTACCAACAATTGGATTAAATCTAATAAATGTTCCAACTCACGAACACTCCTACTCACACTTAAAACGTTCTTGAAAATTTTAGTATTTTTAGATTGAATATAATAAACGAACACTCATAGAACGATTAAATAAACTTAATCAATCCATAATATATTAAACAAAAGTGGATAAAAGGAGTAATTTTTTAACTTCAATGTGTTGGATGATGAGAATGATAATGAGTTTATAATTGAAAATAGTGTTAAGAAAATTTTTGTTCAAAATGTAGAGAGAAATTTTATCCATATAGAATCAAACCAATCCTGAAGGTACAATAATGGAGGTCGGGAGCTTGGGAAAAGGACAATAATGGAGTCGGCTCGTCTGCAATTCTCCACGCCATAATGGCGCGTGCATTATACTGATGAACAGCAACGGCTATGGATAGATTATGGATTCATTTTGTTTCTTGAGGAGATCGAGAAGAAAGATACCAGTTGAATTCAACGGGTCTTGTAGACGCCGTTTTCTATTCGTTTTGTTTCCTTTTCTTCCATGGCCATAACGACGACGACCCAATAGGAAATCAAAGTGAAGATTGAAGACTCAAGTCATCTCTCTCTCTCTCTCTCTCTCTCTCTCTCCTCGTTTTTTTCTCTCTCTTCTTTTGAAGCTTCCTGTAAGCTTCTTCTGTAAACCGGAGCTTTTTTTTTTTATCTCTTTATTTTGAAATTCACTCTGTTTAAACCCTATTTCTTGCTTCGGATCTTGGAGTTTGAATCGGCTCCCGGATTGTTGGGCCGCGATGAATTCGCCGGGAGGTGTGATTACTACGGTGCTTTTGGGTTTGATGCTGAGTCTGAGGCTGGTTTCAGCTGGGGATATAGTTCATCAGGACAGTGTCGCACCAACGCGCCCTGGTTGCGAGAACAATTTCGTTCTGGTTAGAATTTGTGGCTCTTCTCTTTTGCTGATTCTTGATTTTTACTTAATTCGAAGTTTCAATTTGAATTTCTTGTTGTTGGTACTTGAATTTCATGGATTTTATGATTAGTTATCTGTATGCGCTATAATTTGATTAGCATAAGTAAATTGGGCAAACCACTTTAGAATAAACTGGCTTGATTGAAGAAATGAAAAGTGTGTTAGGCTTAGCTTATAGAGGTTTTTCATTCAATTATTCCCTCTCTGTCTCTCAAATGTTCTTGATGATTCATTTTTGTTCTTGTCTATTTGGCTGCTGACATGATGACAATCAACGAAATGAACTGATTCTTGCTTGTTATGATCTTGTTATATGTATGTACTGATTTCTGAGAACTAACGAGTTTGATTCCATGGATGGAGATTGGAGGAAGAATCCATTTCTGTTCAAACAGTGATGATTTTGAGGACTGTACTCAGTTTATGATGATTTCATACTGTAGTTCATTGATTTTCTGTTAAGGTGAAAGTCCCTACTTGGATCAATGGTATAGAGGCCACTGAATATGTCGGTGTTGGTGCTCGATTTGGCCCAACATTGGAATCGAAGGAAAAGCATGCTACCCATACTAGAGTTGCTCTGGCAGATCCTCCTGATTGTTGCAGTACGCCCAAGAATAGGGTAGGATTTTCAGATTTCTATTTTCATTTAGATATATCTCATACGAAGAACGACTCAAGACGTTCATCTTATTGGCTGTTGTTTTTTGAATTAATGTATGCAAAGATATTTTTCTTTGAAGTTCCATTGATTTGAAATTGAACTGTTTGGTGTGCTTGTAGCTGGCTGGAGAAGTCATTTTGGTACGCCGTGGAAATTGTAGTTTCACAGACAAGGCAAATATTGCAGAAAATGCTAATGCTTCAGCCATCCTTATCATTAATAACAGTAAAGGTACTTTTAAAAAAACCTTGTGTGGTTCTGGCTGTATTGACCGCATCCTTTGGTGTAACTAGTTATTCCTTACCTCGGGACCAAATAGGCTTGTGAAAGAGTCGAATGAAGGAGAAACCTAACGAAATTTTCTTATCACTCTTGTTTTGTTAACCATTGATCAAAAAAAGG